TCCGGTATTTGTGAACCGATTTTCATGATTCTTTTTTTGTTGGAAAAAGGGTACCTCGATAGTGGTCCCATTTCATTTTCAAGAAAATCATCCGCTTCTAAGGGTGGTTGTTCACGCACGAAGATTCATTTTTATAAAAAGCGCGCAAATTTTATTATAATGACCAAATATTTTAATGGTTGATTTTGCTATTCTCCAATTCAAGGCGTTTTTCTCTCTCAATATACTTTGAGTAGTGAGAACCGATTTTTATTATCTCCTGTGTCAAGTCCCGTATAGTGGCGAACTAGGGGATGAATCCGGGTTTGCGCACTTTCCGCTAACCGATTTCAATAAAACTTGGTAATTATATGTATTCCACGTACTTTTGATGTCGGTTTTTTTAGTACTCTGTACTGAAATTATTAAGTATTGTATTCCTTATGTTTTGTGGAGAAATAAACACCTTATTTTATTTTTATTATTGATGACATTTTCCTTCTTCCAACCTTACCTTTACCTCGCTACTTTGTCTTATAGTTTTTATACAATGGTGGGTAAGTGTTCTTACGTTTAATTAACTGAGAACCAGACTGGTGAAAGAAAGTCTCGGTCCAAGGGGGCGTCCGAAACAATTGCTGCCAAATAAGTAATTCCCGGCTAAATCAAAGTGACGAGTATGAAGATTCATTCGCATCATGCGTCTTTTATATGGTCGAGTATTACTTTTTCATTTGACGGTAATTGTTTCAGACTGAGAACGAGAGTAGGCCCTTTGACCTTATGTTTACTTTTTGATGCCGTAGGGCAATTTGTTTTAGGGCATAGTTTCCCAAAGTGCCCCCCGGTGGGGTAGGGGCCTCGGAAGCAAGCTGTTCAGGGTGCTACCGCATTTAAAAAAACCCTGAATTATTTATATATAATCTCAGTACAGAGTACTAAAAAAACCGACCTCAAAAGTACGTGGAATGACGTCTATTTTGCTAAGTTTTATTGAAATATAGTTCGCCACTATACAGGACTTGACACTGGAGATAATAAAAATAGGTTCTCGCTACGACACTACTCAAAGTATATTGAGAGAAAAACCAACCATTAAAGTAATTGCTCCTAAATTAAAGTTAGGCGCTATTTATAAAAATGCATCTTCATGCATGAACAGCCATCCTTCAAGGTGGGTGATTTTCTTCAAAATGAAATGGGACCACTATGGAAGTACCCCCTTTCCAACAAAAAAAGAATCATGAAATTCGGTTCACAAATACCGGAGTTATCGCGTAACATACATACAAAAAAAAAGAACATACAGTCGAATGGAGAACCTCCTCCTTTTTTGAAGTCGGTGAAAAATACACTTCATGTATATGTTATTTTTGTGTTGATTTTCAATTTTTTTTTGTGGCATTGAAATTTTTTTATCTTGCCTAATTAGGTGGTTAGTCAAAAGTTTGGGAACCTATGTTTTAGGGTAATGTCCTCGATTTTAATAGGATCTTTGTCCTTCAAAAAACATGCAGTTAAGGCAATTTACGAATGACCTTTTACCACCAACAAGTTTTTATCAATGACTTATGACAGTCATTGTTGTAAATTAATGTCGGTTATTGTTTACTTTATCAACTTCGTCGTGAACTCTTGACAGCTACGTCGATACGGTTTTCCACAATTCTATTAATTTATAATGCATACATTATAATTGTACCTATCACATATATCTCACTATTAATACAATAATGTATTAACTCAAAAAGTGTATTTTCTCAGATCGACAAAAAACGAATTACTCGCTTCCCGTGAAAGAGCTGTATAAATTTATATATAAGTTATTTCCTACGTGCCAACTATACATATTTAAAAATATAAGAGAAAAAATAGTTTCATATTTTTGAATAAGGACTATTTTGGCCAGAACTAGCTCACATAAAGCGTGTCTCATTTTGAGTTAAGTAGATATCTTTTAGTTGTTTTTTTACAATATTCTAACGTTTTATTGACGTGTAGAGAATCTAATTTTAATATTAATTCACATATTTTTAGTTATGACACTATTGTAATAGGAGTGCGATATATTACGCTTCTCTCCCACTAGGGTAGGCAGCGTTTACAGGGTAAAACAAAATTTAATTTTTTAACCGACTACAAAAAAAGGAGTAGGTTCTCAATTCGAAAATATTTTTTTTTAATGTATGTTACGCGATAACTTCGGCCGATTTTGATGATTCTTTTTTTGGAAAGAGGGTACCTCAGTATTTTGTTCTCACTACGTCCTTTTTCAAACCACATCGTTCATGGTTCATTGTATCGATCACGCTGTCACGTAGTAACAGTAGAAATTGTTGTCCAAGGAAGTACTGCCTAACCTTACCTATTTATGCCTCCAAGCAGTAACATGAGCATTACTGCGTTCCGGTTTTGAAGGATAACGGTGAAATTACAGGCACATGGGACTCGTCAAGTATGTCTCCGAATTCTACTTCTTTGCGATTTAAGTTAGTTTATGGACAGACGTGTCGTTTTCCACCAGGCGCACGAAATGTTCGTCCTCTTACTTGATATGATGATAAAAAAACACATTACAATATTTTGATTCTAATATTATACTTCAGTTTTCTTAGTCATTTTTACACGTGGATCACTTGATTGATCACAAGCCATTTGTTATTTAAATTACGAATTAAAAAACACTAACAATGGAACAGTTTAGAAAATAGAGTAATAAACAACAGTTTCCTTGGAATAACAAGTCGTAATCGTAAATGAAACATATTAATTAAGGAAAAAACTTTACTTACATTGTTTTTCTTATTGTTTCAGATATAAGCACTCACACTGGCAGCTAGCTACCAATAAAAAAAACAGATTAAAAAACAATTAGTCCGTAAGACTCAAAACTGCGTTGTGATATAACTTATTTGAAAAAAAAACTTTTAAGATTTAAAAATTCTGACAATACTCGGATACATCCCCAAAGTTATTAAAAATTAGTAGAGTAAATAATATTTACTGGACGTGTCAGTGCACAAAAATTTTATTAAATACTACTTAATTTATTTAGTTTTTAAATAAAGATCGTATGTGATATTTAGACTTAGCAAAACATGAAAGACAACATGAAGCCATGCCAACACACTTTATCGGAGGATTTGGTGTACAAAGAAGTCGTCATTATTGGTAAGTATACTTTCCGTCATCTTAATCATCAAGAACCCACGGATCTCCTCTGAGGGTCAAGCCTCAAGGCTCAGGTTCTGACTTGTGAGCATTGAGTAGAGTTCTGGAATACGACCCAATAGAGCTCGATGTGAAAGAGTTCCTCTGGGTACGTACTGCTACTTTAGATATTTCTGCCGCCATGCTGTAGCGTAAGCATTACTCCGTTGCGGTTTTGAAAGTGAATGTATAGTAACCTTGCAAGTGGTATTTTACCTGTAATTGTTTGATGCATTTAGTTTGTAATTTATTTTTTTGCTAGCATAAGTTCCTATAATTGTAACAATGTACTCAAGCGTTGGTAAATCTTAAATAAATAAATAAACCTAGCCCTGGAGCAAAGATAGGATCTACGATGGAACGAGCTCACCCAGAATGTGCCTATTCAGTCGCACATTAAAGCTACTCGGGTTGTACATACGTGCTCGAAAACACATTCGCGGGCAGGGTATTGCATCCTTGAGCTGTGCACATAATAAAGATCTTGAATATGTATATGAATATCGACCAAGGAAAGATGATATCCCGCTGTGCATCTATATGTCCGATGGTAATGAATGGCTGGATAAGCTGATGAACCTCATAGGCACACTCAACGAAATATATTCTGTAGAAAAGCGACAGACGGGCAACTCGGCGCCGGTAGGCTAAACTATGAAGTTTAGATTCGAGCTTATCGTCGCCAATAAGTCTCCTGGCTTTGCCTTCAACCGAGTCAAGAGCCTCAACCGAATCAAGGGTACTGCAGATTGATTTTAATTCAATTCATCCAAGTCTGAAAATCAAGTGGGTTTCCGAGCGAGAAGATGAACCTGATTCCTATTATATCTTTCTAATTTGTGAGTTGAATCGCAATTGTGCGCCTCGACTCGGAAGAGACGCAATTTCCGATCGGGAGAGGCAATCAAAATCAAACTGCTTGTGAAACTGACAGACACGTGGGACTTTTCAACTTTATATCTCAGGGTGACGGGTACAGTGACAGTGGCTCTTAGAACTTTGTTATTAAAGCTCTTAGTGGCACTGCAGCTGTTATGAGTAGGCGTGCCGCTTACCACCAGGCGCATGACTCTTGTGGACTTCGCCAGACAGTATTCATCACGATGTTTTCCGTTAGCGAGAAGTAATGGTTCTAAACATTTACTTATGCCTCTTAAGATAAGAACATTCCAAAGTTTAAGTTTAAATTGCAAGCTTGACATGCTATTGACCGTACAAGACTAAAATCTTTCATAACTGTAGCCATAATTGCGATATCAGTGCCAAATGATAATGGCCATGGCAGCAATCGAAATGAATAGAAATTTTCCATCCACACATGACCTGCAATTCAAGTCGAGTCAATTGACCCATAACACGGCCTAAACATACTACTGTGAACTACTCTAGAATGATCCGTGTCATAGACTACACGGATGTAGAACTGCCACGTAATGTATATAACACCTATTCATTGGCGCGTCCGAAGCTGCGGTCCCTTGAGATCAAGCTCAATATTGTCGCTAACTCCTAACAAAAATGATGATACAGTCACTTAGTGGGATCGAATTTGTTATTTTTAATCTCCGACACAAAAAGAGGGAGTTCTAAGTTTAATTATTAATAATTAATCCCTTATCTGTGTATCTCGTCTGTGGCGTCGTAGCTCCCAAACTAATGTACCGATCTTAAGAATTGATACAACCTCAAATGATTTTTGTCGATTCTGCATAATAGTGAAACTGTTGAATCAATAATTTTGGAAATAGTAAAATTGAGGATGTACACTGATGTACACGGAGTGAAAACGCGATTCCTAAATTTTCACGATTGAAAAAAAAACACAAACTTATCTCGAAATTTTACAAGAAAACCGCGTCACAAAGCTCGCTCGTTTACCACGTCACAAAGCTCGTAACATTTAGCACGTCAATAGTACAAAATATCTTATCAAAGTCATTTACTACTAACATTTAATATTAACTATAACTAACGCACACACTCAACATATTACTAGAACTAAATTCAAAGATTTGCACAATATACACATAAATTTAAATATTATTTAATAATAGTATATTGTTATGATATAAATCGCATAAGTAATAAATCATTAATAGATACATTAAATGTTATAAAATAATGAGCATTTTTTTGAATGCATAAGGTCTAAATATTCGTCAACTTTATAGAATGGATTTTCAATTTTTTTTTTTTTTTTTTATCATTTAATAGATACTGCCAACTAAACTAAATAGAACACGTATACTATACGATATACAGTATCATGTCGTTAAAAAAAAAATAATTCTGAAATAAAGCCAGTGTCCCTGCCACTCGGCCTAAGCAAAATGGTTCATTTTGCTCCATTTTGCTTAGGTCGAGGTAGTATCGAGTCTTAAACCGTTTTCTTTTTTCTTTAAAGGCTAATTTAATCGGGACAATTCTTACCCATATTTGATTAGTTCATCTGTTTAAAGCTATTTCGTTCATAGGCTTTTTCCCGGTTAGTGTCGGAATCTCAGTCATAAAATGGATATTTGTTTTTCTTCCACTTGTCCTAGTGGCTTGAAATTTGGTGTGGAGTCCGACGACATTACAATAATATGGTAACCTTGATCTGATGCTGCAACAAGGACAATCTGCACTACCTAACTCCGCAACTACACACGTCAGAACAATCGTGTTTGGGCAAACGGGATTGGTCTCTACGCTTTAGGTTAATTTACGGATTATTACTGAATCTTTAGAAAAACTGTTTTGTGTCGAAGGTTTCCTAAATATTAATTTAAGTTTTATTGTGCAAAACTTATTTCCGGGAACCCTAAAAACGTACTCGTAGTTCAAAAATCTTTGCTGCGTAGATTCCAGGTAAGGGCAACCACCTTGTTACTGGTTGTACGAACTAGCGCTAGAAATAAAAATCACTTGTACTGCAGGAAAACGAATTAACTAAAAAAAATTGCGATTTACAAATGACGCCGTGCGGTACGGCTCGCGAGTAGCAGCGGACTGCCTCGCCGCGGTTGGCATTAAAAAAACAAGGTGGAATACAAAAGAAAACAAACTAAATGTACCTTATTTTCTAAAATTAAAACTATATTATTCTAAACAATGAGCGCGTCGCTGACACACCTAATCTGTCTCTTTTCTGCCCTCCGTTGTTCATACCTGTCGAACGTTCAATTTTAATCATAATTCATTTATTTGTAAAGATGGTATTTCATATACTTGGCAAACAAACACCAAGCGTGTGTGACAAAGTATTTGCCTTGTTTGCCTATTCGACAAATACAGGAAACACCAAATTCACGTTACTGCGCGCTGGTGTTCTCAACACACATCAAAGGTACCAAATAGGCAAATACGCAAACAAACCGTGGACGCTATAGTCACATTGATTATTTTAACTCCCTATCTGGCTCCATGTGTAGACGGTCATATTTGTCAGTGTCCGCATGTTTGTCTGTACGTCAAATATTTTTCCAAGTACATCAAACACCCAATAGTGATTACAAGTGGCCATGTAAAGTGGCATAAGGATGTGTGTCTTACGTGTGCATTTGTAGGGAACTTGAACAATATTTCAATAAAGAGTTGATAATTTAAACTACCTCCGTGGCCGAACGGTTACCATGCCGGACTGTCACGCAGAGGTCCCAGGTTCGATTCCCGGGCCGAGAGAAATATTTGTATGACCTACATTTATTTGTCTCGTGAGTTTGGGTGTAATTTGTGGTTGTCTATATGTGTGTCCATGGCACCCGCGACACAGGGTTTCCCTAGTTCGGGGCTATGTTGAGTGTGTGCGTTATTATAATTATGATGATATAAAATCAGCCTTTACAAAGTCGAACCTGTCGCAACAACGCTGATGAGGTCATGCGTGGAGACGAAAAGGCGGCACTTTTTGTCGCCTCTACGTAATTTCTAATCTATTGCACTTATCAATGTTGTCTCGTCGACAATTACTCTACTTTGTATCAGATTATCAATGAAACGGCGGGACAACTCACGATTTGCTGTCGACTAACAAATTGTGTTATACAAATTTGTACTAAGTCACAATAAAGGAGATACAAAAGTAAGTTTGCCACGCTTTTTCCATTATCTCTTGGTTTGACCGTGTACCTAAACTTTTTATAAATTCATCAGTATAAGTTTCCAGCGATAGGTATAAAATATTTCTATAGAAAAGGTTGATTTTCCTTATGACACCACAAAATCGACAATTGTCATAGTAAACTCATGGTAGGGCACGCACAGAATTCCCAATAGGTAAAAAAATAAAATTTAAAAATCCGAACAAAACAGGGCATTCAAAAAGTCGATAAAATCACAATTTTTTTTATGATATAAGTGACGGGACAAACAAGGCGTCTGCCCATAGATAACCTCCTAATATCTATGCGTGCACCTGATGTTAAGCTACACGCCTGTCCGTAACAGTATCAGTGCCACTCAGAGCTTGAAATCGCAAAGATCTTAGGGGCACTGGGCTGCGCGCCTGTGATCTTGAGACATAAGTTGACAGTCTCGTGTGCCTGTAATTCCACCAGCACCCTTCAAAACAGAAACACAGTAATGCTCACATTACTGCTTGGTAATATAAGCAGAAATAGGCAGACAGTACTTCGCTGGAAGAGCTCTTTCACAAGGACCTCTACTGCTAACAAAATATACTACGTCTCACGATGGCACAGAACGTGTCAATTCGAGACGACGACTTGCATCAACATGCCAGAAGCGCTAGAGTGTCGCTCCAGGCCCATCAGATGTCTGAATGTGTTGTTGCAATGAACACGTAAGGCATCATGAAACGCCTTTGTGTAGTTTATCCAAAGTAACATAAATATTGATTCACTGAGATCCATACACTAACTGGGATAAGAACTGATGATCTTTAAACAGATCTGTTAGCAGATTCACAAGCAAAAGCTTGTAACTTCCTTCTTTTTGCGTCGGAGGTCAAAAACTAAAAACAGAACTATTTAACACTAAACTTAGACACCATAAGCAAGAACAAAAGTAAAAACAGGTTTTGTATGACTTGTATGAGAGTCATACAAATATTTATTTGTGGTTTATAATTGACTATAAAATTATAAGTAAGTGGTCATGCAATAAAAGTAAACGCTCATAAATTGCAATTTCCATTGTTTATAAATAAAAATAACTATTTACGTGTCACATTAAGGGATCTTAGTCACTTCGCTTTCTAGGTCTCGCTTACTTACATGATTGGGCCTTTACATAAAGAACATTTGTATTAGGCCAAAGTACAGCATGCTGTTTCGAAGCAGCTTGAGGACTTCTTTTACGAATTGCATCAACCTTGAGATTCCTGATAAATCGTAAACAAAAGTTCACTAGAGATGCAAGCACTGAACCTTGTTCTTACATGCCGAGGTGCTACTAGGCTATGACGGCGTCGCAATAGTCTCCAATAACTCCAGAGTGTTGGATGATGCTATTCTGCGAGCTAGCAATACAGGACTTGTTATGTTCCCAATGGTCCTTACTAACTAGTCCACAATTATTTGGACAGGTAACGCCCTTAAAGTGATGATGACGTCATTCCTGCTCGTAGCAGTGTAGTGTTAGTTTTGTACCGAATATTGTGTACTAACTTGTCAATAATTCTCTCCACAGGCAATGGTCCCAGCGGTATGGTGACGTCATTCATGCTGGCCGGCAACGTGCCATATCTCAAACAACCTCCTGAGGATCTACCTATCGACGACATGCTTAGAGCCAGGTATGGTATAATGGATATAACTATCAATGAGTGATGATTGTGTAATTCGTTTTTTTAAAGTCTGCCCCGTGTCACGGCTGAAGCAAAGTCGCTACGTTTCCTCCTTCATTGTTTCCTATCATGTATATATAAACGTGGAAATTTTTCGTTACTTGCATCTGCAGTGGTGAGTGAAGAACCATTGACACCCAGCCTCTCTAGAAAGGTCACCAATTGCCAGCTGATGCTGAAGGTCTCCTAGCTTTAGGATACCTCACGTTACTTGCTTTGTGTATGGCCATTCCTTCGCACTCCCCATGCAAAATGCTTTCTCTCCTGCTCACTTTCAAGTAATGCACTAAGGAACTGTCTATAACACCTATTTTCTAGAGGGTGTTTGCTCTTGCCTGTTATTCTCATTTTCTGCATCGAACTCGTTAAATTTCTCTTTCCACCTCTTCCAGGATCTTCCTCGCTTTCTTCCTAACTTCCGTTGTCCAATATTTTTATTATAACATCTATGTTGACCCAAAAACCTCCTTCAAATTTATTCACGGCTGTCGATCATGTGCCACCTCTGCCCATCAAATGTTTTACTTCAAACAATGAGGTTTAACTTTTTGTGAATAGACAACATCGCATACATTGCTCTGATCCCAAAGTAAGTAACTAGAGCACTTGTGTTATGGAAATCGGAAACAACGACGGTACCACAAACACCCAGACCCGAGGCAATATCAACTTTTTCCGAACCCGGAACCTCGGAGATGGAGACATAATGGAGTGCAAGCCACTTGACCACCGAGGTCGTCAAAATATTATGCTCAAATAATATAATATGCCTCTTTATTGAGAAATGTTTTTGTCATTTTATAGAGATTCAAAGGACTAGACTTCATTAATTGGATGAAATCGGATCCCTACGCAGGACGGCGAAAAGAAATACTAGGAGCATGCTATCTTTGTACGGCTTTCCTAATACTTTGGGCAAACTACGAGCACTTAAGTTTCTTCATTTTGGGATATGATTTTATACAAAGTTCGCTGGGACCTCACAGAGTTAGGTTATGCACTCCGACAGGTGCGAATAAGTAGTCGGAGTTAAGTCCCTCTAATATTTGGCTTTTTAATCTTTCTGCCCGTTCTGCTTCAGAACCAGCCATCTGCTTATGTCTTGGAGATAGTACTGGGCCAATGTATCGACATATGTGGCGTCCCATACCAGTCAGTGCATTGAAATAAGTTTTCTCCATTGCAGACTATCAAACCTGCCAACCGGTCAAAGTTTGTACGACACTGATTTGATGGAGCTCGCAGAAGGACTAGAAGGCAGGAGTCAGAACCCTATACCTTTATTGGTAAGTCTCATTTTCTAATTTACCGGCATTATTCGAAAAATGGGGAAGCAGTTTTTTATTTTCGAGAATTGAAAACTACTTTTAGAATGCAAATGATATTGCTAAACGTATGTGTTGGTTATCATTTTAAATGACCGGGGCGCTATGTTACCCTCTGTATATGAAATGCTATGAACGATTATTTTTGAATTTTTATTGAATTGATATTCAATAATTTTTGTGAAATTACTCCAATAGTTTGTTATAATTATTAATACAAAGATCGAACACTCAGAAAAAATTCCTTCGATCGATCGGTCGATTATTTTTGGTTCAGGAAATGACAAGCCCAGAATTGGATTATTCTTCTAACATGAGACCTGTTTTTATCATATCCAGTGACGAGGTAAACAGGTCGCGCGCCTGGTTGTAAGCGTAAATCTACCCATGACTGTTTGAGTGCCACTCAGAATGTGAATCACAAAGGTCTGAGGGGTACTACCATTGCATCCGTCAACCTAAGACATTAGTTGACCAGCACCCCTACATATCAAAACCGGAACTCAGCAATGTTTGTATTACTACTTGGTGGCAGAAATAGATAAAGTGTCAATACTTCCCCGGACGAACTTTTTCAGAAGTAGGTCTACAGTATGGTATCTAGTAAGCTTAAAATTACACGGTCATATAGTTCGCTAGGTTTATGCTCTACATTGTCATAAGTAACGTTTTCATTAACCGTCATAAATGTCGACCTCGACAAACTTTTGTGATCTTTATTTATATTCGTTCTGGAAACTGAGCCATCATTCTTCTGGTTTACAGTAAACGTAATGATAGATAACAAGAGGTAGATCTCGAAGTACATAACTTGATGAAATTGGAGATGGCCTTATAAAAGCCGGGAATGTATGAAGAGACTAAAGCGATTGGAGGAGCCGAAATAAGGTTGTCAGGAGCGTTGCGGTTGGAGGTTCATGATGTTTATCTTCCCTAGTAGCAAAGACAGACGTGATATTATGTATGTTTGTAGAGAAATATCAGCGCCTGCGCAAGCTCATGTAGCGCCCGGGTACAGTCAATATCCTGGCACCTTCTAGAAGCCACACAATCAAATTGGAATTCTTACAATTATATTTTCCCCAATGATCTGAAATTCGAGTGCAAATGGTGCAATTATAAATGGTGTTGAGGAATGATACCTGTTTAATTCGTTTGCACCGCCATCGACGTAGGTTCTGTAGGGGCGTCGCGAGAGACGTAGGTTCTGTAGGGGCATCGCGAGGGACATAGGTTCTGTAAGGGCGTCGCGAGAGGAGGCTCGGCGTCGGCGTCCCTTAACGCCCTGCACCATAGGTAACACCAGCACTGGATATTAATACGAAAAAAAAAAAATTGCTGTTCCGACAGTCGTCTTTGCAAAGTCACAAATTAATTTAAGGGGCAATGTACACGGTTCTATTATAAGATCCCGGTTGTTGTACAACTTTGTCATTTACGACGTTAAAACTATCGTGAAACAATACAATCGCCACGAATTGTAAATAAAAACAGCAGTGGGTCGGGTCTGCTTTCAAGGTTAATAAAATTGATAAAATTTATCAATAACGCATACCACATTTGTTGAAAGGCCAATATTTTGTAACATTATCAAGTGTGATATCACATATCAAACCACAGCGTGGTTTGATATGTGATATGTGACACACAACTCAATTAAATAATAATAGTGTGAGTGAGTTTGTGTTGTGTGTGTTGTATACAAAAGGGTTTCGAATTTTCAGGATGTTAAAGTTTATTTACATGCATCAGTAACTGCCGTATTTCGTATTTTTATCATAGTAATTTATCATTAAGAATAATAATTTGAAAATACAACAAAATAGTGACAGACGTAACATTAATACGAGGAATAAAAATAAACTAATAATTTCGGCAGTCGTCTTCATAAAGTCTTCAATTCATTTAAAGGGCTATATATTCGCTTTTATAATAAGATTCCGAGTGATATTCAGAAATTGCGATTTACGAGGTCCAAAACTACAGCGTAACAAAAACTTTATACTAAAGATTATTATACAGCTTCTGCGTACTTGGATAACAAAAATCCGTGGTAGTAATCAGTTTAGCTCTTGCAGGCAGTCTCGATCTAAGTGTAATAATGAATTGAATTAAATATTGTTATGGTAAATATATTCAAATGTATATTTACAAAGAGCAACCCCTATAGTTTCTTGCTCATTTTTGTCAGGGGATTCTGCCTCACGAATGAGCAGTGGAGTTTAATCAGTATGAAATAAAGTTTGTTTGACTATGACTTAACATGCCACTGTTTGAAGGATTTTTTTAAATTAATTCCATTTAGACATAAAAAAAGACTGTAAAATATTTATTATTTGCATTGTTTATTTACATTTAAGGACATTTTTGCAATACCTATTAATTTTAATACTTTTTTTATGTATGAGAGGAAATTTTAAGTCTTATTGTATTTCTATAATTACATGTTACCTTGATGCTAAGTCGTGGCGATATGAAAATATTATATAAGTAATTTCTTGCATTTTCCATTGAAAATGAAACAATTTTTTTCTGACCTATATCGCGTATATTTGTCCCATGATCAGCCGTGACCATGGGACCTGGAAAGGGCCCGAAATGTTGGTTTGTTTGCGTAGTTCTTTAAGGTGATGATGTAACTGCTTTCCATCTTTACAAAATATTGCAGCAACAACTTTAAATTTTTGAATTTAATTATGATGTGATTTAATGAATTGTTACATAAATTATTTTTTAACCGACTTCAATAAAAGGAGGAGGTTCTCAATTTGACTGTATTTTTTTAATGTATGTTACGCGATTTGTGAACCGATCATGATTGGTCCTATTTAAATTTGAAGGAAATATTCCACCTCTAAGGGGTGAACTAGGGGGAAACTAGGGGGTGAATCCTTGCCAAACTAACTTGCCAAACTCCACGAACTTTAGAGGTCGGCTTTTTTTATAAAAAAAGACATGTTATTCTAAGTTAGTTCTGGTTTAGGTATCCTGAGTAGCAACCTAGAGCGAATTTCGTTGCTCTGGTACGCAGTATAGGGAATTCCCAAGTTTAAGTCCATGTCATTATAGAAATAAGTAAAGCAAAGCCAAATATATAAAATAAAGATTCAACTCATGAATAAAATTACCATAAAATTTCGCTGAGTCACTCTCTGATATTAAATCATCTGATGACCGTGACTCGGTCATGACCTTGATCTCACTTAAAATACATATCACATTGGCCACTATTTGCATTAATAACTCATCTATTATGTTTTCTCTTTATTCATTTATTTGATGACATCGACGATTTAGCGGTTAGCACTTTAGGCGTAAGGTAGCTTTGATTCCAAGCAGTACCAAAGTTCGGGTATAAAACTTTGTTAAAACGGATCAGGTCTGGGTGGTCCAGGTTAAATGCGAGTTGGTAGATGCGACTGCACTATGAAAACACTTTTTTATTATAAAAAAATAAGTGCGCAATTCACGTCCATCGCACCTGGTGGAAAGTGACGATAAGATCGACGACACACGCTCCTAAATAATGCCTATTCACTTTTGCCTTGAAAAGGACCAAGTTATAACGTTCAGGGAACAAGTCTGCAGGCAGGGAATTCCAGTACATAACCGTTCGCCATATAAATGTGGAAGCCAACCCTACGCCTAGTCGCCCGATAATGGAAAGGCGGAATCAAATTATGCAATTCTATCGCACACTCTCCGTGATATATCCTGTAGAATACCGATAAGCTTTGAAGTTTCGCCTCTACTAATTCCGAGTCACCTATAAGCCTCTTGGCACTTTTGTCCATTGCGTTCAAGGTGGCTAGTTGGTGTTTAGCAGAGCTATCCCAGAGGTGGCAACAGTACTCCGTGCACGACCGAACTTGTGCTTGGTACAGCTGAAGCAACTGTCCCGATGTGAAGTAATGCCTCACCTTGGAAAGGATGCCAGGCTTCCTGGCTGCATTTTTGGCAATGGATTTCAAAGTATCTGCCGAAGTTGAGATTAAACTGCAGGTCCATTCCAAGTAGCTGGAGGCGGTCGGCTCTCGGTATGGATATATCACGAAAAGTCGGAGTCAGATGACTATATAGTTAGATAACTCTCTCTAATTAACTTCCCGTACTTTGAAAACGGTTCGAATCCCTGCAGCGACATGCGGGTACTTATGACTAGATTTTCTTAACATAGTAGCAGTAGATCTCCATGGCAATGCAGTGCCACTCAAGGCCGGGTACTCATCAGCGAGTTGTAATTGTAACGTGCAGATACAGTAACGAGGTTCTAGTATGTACGCTTGAAAAAGTCTTCAATTAGACGGCTCACTGCGGACCGCACGCGTATTGCTCGCGAACCATGTACACACTAAGTTTTTTGGTTGCATAACATGCAACGGTTACAGTTATAGCTCGCTAGTGGGTACCCGGTTTTAGAGCTTTAAATCGCAAATATTTGCACCCGTGCCTGTAACTTCACTGGCAACCTTACCCGTCAAAACCGGAACTTTGATTTGAACAGTGATGCTGACATTACTGCTTGGCGGCAGAAGTAGGTGCTGTGGCAGTACTTGCCTGGACGAACTTTACCAGCATTAATGAACAAAATGAGTGAGGAATTTATATGTACAGGAAATGAAACTATTTTTCCGGATTTAAATCGCGTATATTTGTTTTTTCAAACAAACCGACGTTTCGGGCCCTTTACAGGTCTCAAGGTCACAGTTGACTGAGGTGGTACAGTCGTCAACCAGTTATGTCTAATATTAATGCACTATAGTTACAATAGTTATTAATTAAATATCTTATTTTTAATTTTACAAAGAAAACATTCCAATTTACGCTACATTCACTTTTACAAATTATTTTATTGAATGAATTTTTATTAAGTTCAATTTATTATTAATTAATAATAGAAATTAGAATAAACTAAAACATATTAGTTAGTACTGCAGTCTTATGTCTGTTTGGGATTTTTC